CACTGAAACGTACTTTTGAAATGGTCATTTTCTATGTATAATTATTACACAAAAGGCTTCCAGCCCTTTCCACTCATTGCCCTGACTGAACGAATGAATTAATGATTCAGGGCGTGCGATTTTCGGGATCTGACTTGGGGTCATTGGTGGGCTTTATGTCTCATTCTCTTTCCCCCATGAAAATTCCACAAGCTTATTTCCTTAGAGAGCCCGACACATTCCTTCTTACGAAGGACTTTATTAAGGTACCGTGTTGTGTGGCGTTGCGTGTTCTCTCGGCCTTTAGCGGCTTGCGTGTGCCCACAAGCTAACAAGCCCACGTCTGACCCCCGCTTGGAGAAGTAAGCTCATCACTGGGCTCCCAGAAGCGTTTGGAAGGAGAAGCCGAGCTTGTCTGCAAAATGCTAACACTTGGCTGCCTCGGCCCCTGAGAGAGGGCCCCGGGGGAGTTCCCTGGCCTCTTTTCATGGCTGACTGGGGATCCGCTTGTTTGGTCTCAGAGCGCGCTGACCCGTCTCCCTGATGCATATTGACTGTGACAGTCGTTCTCCTCGCCCCGCAGGCCATGGAGGCGCAAATCCACAACTTTGGACACACGCCATCGCAGCTGCTGATCGAGCCCCATCCACCTCGAAGCTCGGCCATGCACCTGGTGAGACGCCGCGCCTGGCAGAGGGGCGTCTGTCCTGGGCACCTGAGCGCAGGCGGAATGAGACAGCGGTAGCCCAGCGCACCGACTGACGCGTCCAGCTGGGTTTATGCTGGCTGCCCTGGGAGACACGGCGGCGGGAGCCATTCTCAGTCTTGGCTCAGCAAGCCCATAGGGTGTCCCAAACAGCCGTCTTCTCAGCCGGTATTTGCCTCCACACACTCACTCATGAACACAGGCACCAGACACACACTGGCACCAAAGGGAGATTGTTGTTGGGTGCCATCCAGTTGATTCCGGCTCACAGCACCATAGAGGACAGAGTGGAACTGCCCCACAGGGTCCCCAAGGCTGTCAGTCTTCACAGAAGCAAAGCCCAAACCACACCCACTGCCTGGAGTCCATTCTGACCCACAGCGCCCCTAGAGGACAGAGTGGAACTGCCCACAGGGTCTCCAAGGCTGTCAGTCTTTATGGGAGCAAAGCCCAAACCACACCCACTGCCCTGGAGTCCATTCTGACCCACAGCGCCCCTAGAGGACAGAGTGGAACTGCCCACAGGGTCACCAAGCCCACTGTCTCGCACCTGCATAGGCACTGATGATCCAGCTGGTCTCTAAGTGGGTCCCCTCCATGACAAACCACAGGAGGGCCTCAGGCAAGCTGCCCCCTTACAAAACCCCACCCCCAGCTGCAGTGCCGACTCCGAGAGGCCTGGCCTTGGAGCCACACACCTTGGGATGAAGTGTTTAATAAACTCTTCAGAAGATATCAGTCTTTTATGACTGATTGGGCAGAAGAGTTTTATTCCCGAGTTAGTTTTAATAATAACACAGACACTTGTCCTGGAGAGATGCCCAGTCAGGATTCATTAATTTCCTGGGGGAAATTTTTGGAGGCGAAATTGGCATGGAACCGCTCAGAGAGGAAAGTCAAGCTTTGTAAGCTCCTGTGGGCAAGAGGCTCGTATGTCCAGCAAACACCTGCAGAGCTTGACCGAGGGCTGGAGGCTGTGCCGGACAGCTCCTCTGTTTGACGGTTTTCGTGTGGCGGTGCTTAGAGTACCTTACAGCCTCTGCAAGGAGTCCTAGTGGTCAGGGGCTCAGCTGTAACCCCAAGGTGGGAGGTTTCAATTCACCTGCCTCTCCTCAAGAGAGAGACATGGAGTCAGCTTCCATAAGATGACAGCCTTGGAGGCCCTGCGGCAGCTCTACTATGTCCTACGGGGTCCCCCTGAGTTGGAATCGAATCGAAGGCGCCAGGGTGTTTCTGCTTATAGCACTGACAAGGCACCCTGGTGCCACAACAGTTAAGTGCTCAGCTTCCAGCCAATACAGGTTGGAGGTTCAAACCCCGTCCTTGGCTACCTGGGAGTAAAGACCCGGCTGTCTGCCTCCGTAAAGGCTCCAGCTTTGGAAACCTAGGGCCACTCCGCTCTGTCCTTAAGGTCATGAGGAGTCGGAATTGACTCCACGGCCCCACCAACCACAACGTAACTCTTGAGGTAGCACTGAATCGTCTGCTTGTACCAAGTGGAAGTACCAAGTACTTAAGAGACAGGTTCAGCAAGAAGGAGGGATGCCCTCAGCGAGGAGCAGGCCCCACGTGCGGGCCACGCAGGACGGTGTGGGAGGCAGTGCACAGGGCGGACACTGTGTGCCCGGCAGGGACCCCGGCCAACCAGCGGGAGAATGACAGCGCCACCCAGCTCACTTCGGGCTGCTCGTGAACGGGGCGGACAGCACCGACTACCTGGCCCGCTCGGGGCGTCTCCAGCCGCAGGGCAGAGTTGTGTGGGCGCCCCGGGGCCTTGCTATAAGCTGCGTGTCCCACCGAGGACAGTGACACTTATTCCAAGCTGACCGTTACCGTACTTCCGCCCAATCAGTACCCTCGTTCCGTGCACTGTTTGCCAGCTGAGCCCTCGCTCCCCCTGTAATTTTCTTAAACACACTCTGCTCATTTTTTTACATGATGCTCTAAAAAAAAAATAAGAGCGAGGAACAGAGACACCCAGGGGGCGGGGCACGCCTGGCAAACGAACGTGGAACAGGCGCGTTATCGGCGTGGAAGCTGGGGCCGACGTGTGTCCTGTCCCAGTGCCTGCGTGGGCCGTAGCTCCTCCTCGCTGGGCGCCCCTCCTCTTGGCGGGGGTTCACGGTGGGCGCGTCCCCGCCTCCCTCTGTGCCCGCGCCTGCGCCTTGTGCTGTAGCCCCGCCTTCCCGAGCCCGCTCACTAACCACTGTCCCTTTTGTTCCCTGTTCTCCTCCCTTTCTATTCAACAGTGTTTCCTTCCACAGAGTCCGCTCATGTTCAAAGACCAGATGCAGCAGGACGTCATCATGGTGCTGAAGTTCCCCTCCAACTCCCCGGTGACCCACGTGGCGGCCAACACGCTGCCCCACCTCACCATCCCCGCCGTGGTGACCGTCACCTGCAGCAGGCTCTTTGCAGTGAACAGGTGGCATAACACAGTGGGTACGTGCGCCTGAGCGAGTTCCTGAATAAAATTCTTCAAACACTGTGAGTAAGTGACGGTATGATAAGCTTGCGGACAGTGAGCTAAACCCACCACCATGGAGTGCATTTGGATTCTTGGCAACCCTGCAGGACAGAGTGGAACTGCCCCACAGGGTCTCCAAGGCTGTCAGTCTTCACGGAAGCAAAGCCCAAACCACACCCACTGCCGTGGAGTCCATTCTGACCCACAGCGCCCCTAGAGGACAGAGTGGAACTGCCCCACAGGGTTTACCAGGCTGTCAATCTTTATGAAAGCAGACTGCCTCATCTTTCTCCCTCAGAGCAGTTGGTGAGTTGGACCTGCCGACCTTTTGGTTAGTAGCAAAATGCTTTAACCGCTACGCCACCGGTGCTCATTGCGGGTTAGCTAGTGTGGGAAACTGTCCACAAAAACCCAGGTAAATAATTGCTAACAGAATAAGTGACCCTTGTCTGTCTTGGTCACAGCTGTACTTGGTCCCTCACAGTGGACAGTTAAGTATTCAGTGAGTATTTAATAAGTTGGAACAGTTTGACAAATGATTCAGGACTTTCTCTCCCACTCCATCCATCACCACAGCCAACAAACCCACTTCTAGTCCCTGTTAAAATAAGGAGGAAGTCTGGTTACGTGCTTTACTACTAATCAGAAGGTTGGTGGTTCAAGCCCCTGCGGAGACAAGCCTGACGCTCTGCTCCAGGAGGCCTTCAAAAGCCTGGGGAGCAGTTGCCACTGCTCACACGGGGTCGTACGGCTCACAGTCCACAGCGCCTGACAGCAGCCACAAATACAAGTGACTGGGGAGAATCGGGGCTTTCCTTAGCGATGGTTTCAAATCCCCCGACTTCCCCATCACCCGTTTATTTAGCAGATACGGGCCTGGCTGCTCTGTGTCAAATAGTGCTGAGCTGAGGGAGTGTAGCAGTGACCAAGTCAGACGTGGTCTCCACCCTTGTGGAGCCGAGAGCCTTGGACCCCCAGGCCAAATTGAAGTTGTCCAGTAATTCCACATGTGTTTCCGCCAAGCGCATCCCAGAATGTTCCAGGCAGTGTCATGGGGTGATGTCATGCTGTTATTGAACCAGGGCAGAATTGGACGGAGCAAACGGTTGAGTTGGCCCAGTTCTCCACTGAAGGTGTTGCTGGAGCGCCCCTCCCCAGGCTCCCATGTCCCCAGGACTGAAGATCAGCCAGGGTGACTCCACGGACTTCCCCCGACTCCTCGGGCTCTGAGGTCCCAGAGACTCAGGCCGGGGCTCCACCTTCCGGGGCCCCTACATGTGTCTCTGTTCCCATCCGGGTGCTACTGACAATGAGAGGTGGACCGACTTCATTCAAGCAGCAAAAATCTGAAGAAAAGAAGATAGGCTTTTTATTATTCAGGAGTCTGAGCCTTGAGAGAAAACTAGAAAGGATCCCATGTTTTATTAAAATCGTTCTGAAGTGTGGTTGGGGTTATGTAATCGCACTCAGAACACGCGGTGACTAACGAGCTCAGCTGAGGATTATGGGTGTGGCCGTCTTTAGCCCTTCCGTTCGTTCACTGTCTGCACGCAGAGCCCTCCGGCTTGGTAGCCCCATCTTCCTCTCAGCTCTGCCCAGGGGACCTGCTCACAGCCCACGCCTTTCCTTAGGCCTCGGCTGGATCAGCGCCCAGCAGTGCCCCTGGCTCTTGGATGCACTCAACAGGGGCTCTGATCTGCCCCTGCCCGGCTGGCTCCTTGTCGAGCTGGGAGCAGCCTCTTCCCAGCTTTCTGCCTCTCGAAACCTCACAAGTCCCCATTGTGAGGATTTGTCTACGCCTCCCTCTGTTGGCATCGTGCCTGAGGCACTTGACTGCTAACCAGAAAGCGGGCGGTTCAAACCCACCAGCCACTCCTCGGAAGGAAGGTTGGGCAATC